TTGAAGACTGAACCAAACCTTTCCTCTAATCTGTAACTCTGCTGCTTTTCTTGAGTAGAGCGCAAGCATTACAGCCTGTTTTACTAGCATAAATTGTCCCTGTAATGCTGAATATCTCTAAAATAAAATTTAAAGGAAAACTTGGGAGAGGAGTTAAAAGTTAATTTGAAGGTCTGTTTGACTCACTCCTTCCTTCTTCCTCCATGTTGTTCCATGGCTCAAAACTGCCTTTCAGTGTCTCATAATCTCCTTTGTTTTTCCCACTCTCTCTAATTCAGAGTTTCTTATAATTGGGAGGATGGCACCTCCCTCATTGAAGATCAGGCAGTGTCCCATGGCAACTGCAGCAACTGTTGACCTGGAAAAATAACAGTGGGGAAACTTAGTAAAATGTTTTTACTAAAGCCACGCGGTTGGGAAGGAGAAGAGCCAACAGCAGAGCCCTGTGCTGTAGGATGCCCATGTCTCTAGCAGCTGCTCTGTAGGCAGTGTGGCAGGGAGAAGGTAAGTGAGCACTGGTTTCACTTCTTCAGTCTGAAGAAATGGAAATCTGTTCCCCACAGCAGAGATACCAGTAGTTGCTGGTGAGCTCATCATCCCTTTCTGCTTTTGTGCCAGGAACCGGTGAGACCAACTCAGCAGCATCTCTTTCCAGGGCACATGGAAGGGGCTTTACTGGAGTGCCAGGGCTCAAGTGAATGAGCCTGTGTCACAGTCAGTCATGTGGCAGCACAGGCAGCATTGGCCTCTGCTGGGGAAGCCACGTCCCTGGAGGTAAACTCCCTCCCTCCCAGAGGAAGATTGGGAATGATGCCCTCCAGCCTGTGTGCATTCTTGATTCAAGCTGGGAATGAGGGGTTGCCTGTGGTCAGTTTTATCTTTGTCTTACCTGCTCCTCATGCACACATCCTCCACTTCATGAAACCACCCCGTTGGTGTTTTAGTTTTTTAGGACAATACAGCCATTAAGTGAAGTGTGGTGGGAGAGATTTGTTCTGCCTTAGAAGTGAGATTCCCTTCTCTTTTGTAAGCTCCAAGATAATGCTTAATGTCATTACTTTTGATCATATGATAGCAGGTTAATTTCTCTTCTGTAAGCAAAGACCAAGAGGAACTTTGCTTTAACAAGGTGGGGTTTTTTAATTGCCTGATGTATTTCAGGGCTTTAGAGTCTAAGGGTGACTGGACCTTTAGGACCTGGGCAATTCTGGCTGCAGCTAGTTATCATTACTCAGTTGACAAGCAGCAGTGTGAAGAGAAAGACAAATTTTTTTCTGTCTCTAGCTTTTTCTTATATCTGCTAGTTTGTCTTTCATGTTAAATCTCCCTCAAAATTAAAAGCTTTACACTCAGTTGTCCTTAAATACCATCTGATTATTCTGCACAAACCCATCTTTCCTTACTGGAGATTGATGCAAAATCAAGTGCATGGGGAAGTTTGTCCATGTTTCCACCTGGCACTGTGGGAGTCCTTAGCCTGACAGAAGGTGTGTCTGGTGCTGGAGCTGAAGATCCCAGGTGTAAGACTGAGATCCTCATCAACAGGAGGCTGCTGTCTTTGAACTTCAGATCTGATGCATTTCCTGAAGAAAGACTGGAGGTTGGATGGGCACCTGTCCTTTGTTTTCTGGCTTGTTTTGTGCCATGGCTTGTAAACATTCACACATCTATGTGAATTGGAGATTTTCTTCTCTTTAATTTTGCATGTTAAGGTACAGAGTGTACTAGGCACAGTCCTGGGCAACCTGTTCTAGTTGACTCAGCTTGAGCAGGGGCTTGGGCTAGATGATACCAAGAGGTCTCTTCCAAGCTAAACAGTTCTGTGATTTGTATGCTGTGAATGAAGCCACGATCTTTGGTGGGATCTTTGACATGGAGATTGAGTTTTCTGTTATTGCAGTGCCACAATTCTGAGTTTGTGAGACAAACAAGGCTGTGCTGCCTCAGACAAAAGTAAATCTGTGGCTAATATAAGACAGGGACTGTGCAAGGGAGGCTGGAGGCCTGAACACAATACAGCTGTGTTTAGTGGAATGCTTTTGAAGAGGGGACAGTGTTACTGTTAAAGCCTGGGAAGAGTCAAGGGAGAGAGCGTTTATCTCCAACTAATCAGAGCACTAGTCTTTGATTCTCTATATCTTCATAGTTTCTGGAAATTCTTGTTATCCATACAGACAGTCTTTTTTTCAGACTTCTATTAATCTTTGCCTGTGTGGTATATTATGGCAAGGAGTTTCATGTGTAAAATTTGAACTCTGAAAGATTAATGGTTAGTCTACTATAAATGATGGTTCTCTGTTAGGGAACGTGGGAGATAGGGTCTCATACATAGGAGCTTGGGAGACTTCAGTTCCCACAACCAGGATATAATTTGTGGAAGGATTTACTAATAAAAAGAGTATGTAACAATACTAAAATAGAAGACCTTGCTAAATGACAAATGGGGGGAAAATGATGATGTCTGAAAGATGTGAAGACCAATGAGGAGGGTAATTGCACGTATGTAACCCACACAAAATCAGAGATGAGGACTTCCGAAAGACAGTGCAGGTCGTGGGACATCAGAGGCAATGTGACTTCTGAGTCGTATCATCTGTTTACTTCATTCATGCATAAAATGCACAATTGCTGGATTTTAAGGTGTTTTTTTATGGTTAGCCTGTGATGTATATTCTGAAAATACTCTCATTTCTGAGGGTATTGTCTAGAACAAGGGTATAACAAACCAGTGGGAGTAATGGGAGAAACCAAGTCTGAATGTTGGGAGAAATGTGCTACTGGTATGTTCTTCTTCCAAAAGAAAAGATGGGTGTCAGGAGGAATGGCTCAACAGGTGTCTCTCATTGCCTTGTTTCTGAAAAGTACTTGCTATGTTGCTCATAAAAATTGTAGTTGATTCTAGAAGAGCGGGTGCTTATTTTTCCATGGCTAGCATCAGGAGGATGGTTAGCAAGACTGTGGGAGCCCCTTTTTTCCATGAAGCCTTTCATATTGTACTACCACTTTTCTTTGATATATACTATGGGACCAAATCCATAGACTCAGTATCTTCTTGTTTGAAAGGTTTCTCTCACAGGTACTCTGAACAAAGCCTCTAGAGAAGTGTTCAAGGCAAATCAGAGGGGATTAGTCTTGGGCTGCCTGTGGGACTGGGGAGGACTTAGCGGAGGTGAGTTATCCATATGAGACGAGAGGCTAGCAAAATTGTACTTGTACGGGGAAGAGTGAATATCCTGGAAGCCCAGGACCAGTGGACACAAAGACCTTCAAAACATCAATCGTTGACTCAAATCCAACTCCTATTTTAATCATCTCAAGCCAGTGACATTGTGCAGTAGCTCTTTGATCTGCATGTGCTAGGTGTCATTGCCTCTTTTTTGGAAGCAGCGCCATGCTACGTATTGACATTTACACAGTATAAAAAGTGGAGCTGATAGGTTTCCCCCACAGAGCCGTTAAACCTCACTGAAAACCCTGCCACATCCAAATGAAGGGTTTTTATGTGGGAATGAGCCACAAACTAAGGTCAGTATCTCTCGAGTTAGTTAGAATTGGAGCCTTAGCTTTTGTAACAAAGACAGGACCTCTGTCTGTACAGCAGCTAGCACAATGGCACCTCAGTGTCAGCTGTCCCCTCTATGAACTACCATGGCACAAACAAGGTATTATACCTGTTCTGGGGACAACTAGAAGTCTGTTAATTTGGCAGTGTTCCTCAGTGCCAGCTGCCTTTATTAAATGACTCATGTGTGTGAATATGTACAAGCAAATTGTAGTTGTGGTGGAAAAACAACCCCCGCGTTTACTTCAAGGATATCAGAAATGGGGATAAATCTGTGCCACTTTCCCCATTCATCATTTGACAGTTGGGAAGGTAGTTTAAAGACTACCAAGGAAGGAAAATATTTTCTGATTTCTTAAAGGGCAATGTCAATATAGAAGGGCAAAAGGTAGCTTTAAAAAAGGAGGAGGAAAAAGGTGTGAACAGGGGGGTGGTGATGGGAAACCCCAGACACATAACAGGCTTGGGGGGTGGTGATGGGAAACCCCAGACACAGTCCTGGAGGATGGTCACAAAATAGGTGGGTTGACTTAAGAGCTGTCAAAGTCAGAATTTCTCCACTATTCCTGTTACTTCTTTGCATCAGCCGTATGTGTCTTTCATAGGCACCTAGTTAAGTGTAGTTGCTCTTTTGGGTCTCTGGGAGGCTGAAACACTCCAAGGACGTTTCCCTAGGAACAGTGGTGGAGGCAAAATGGGTCCATATCAGTGTAATGGTTGCATGCTGCCTCACCTTCTATAAAAGGCAAGCACAGCACATCAGACACTTCTAAAACGGAAACACAGCAATTAACCTTTTGAAACGTATTGCCACTGGATACTGTGGCAGGGACAGCACAATGTTATTGTTTGCATTTCTGTGAAAACCTGTTTCTTTTATTTCTGTTACATTCTTCAGAGTTGTTCTGTAGGAAAGCAAGATGCATTGTTCTTTGGTGGCTTTTGTGTGTGTGCCTTCAAGGGGGAAGCGTGGGTACATACATAGGATGGCTAAAGTTAACATGCCACTTCCATTTGTGGGTACCTTGCAAGATGATAGTGCTGTTGACAGGATGTGTCTTTATTTCGGTGGTGGGTTTTGGAGATTGTTGTCCACGTGATGTGGATGTGGTAGGCCATGATGGTTATAAGCTGTGTGTCTGGGGAGCTAAGGGCAGGGTATGTTCGTTGTGCTTGGGAAAGAGTTGGTGGTGCAGTAAGGTGGAAATAGCGGTAGGCTGTGCGTTTTGTGTTGCTGCAAGTAAGAGGATATGATGGGAGTTTGAGGTTGGGAGATGAGGATGTGTACACAGGGAGGTGCTACGGCTGGGTGTGTGCGGTTAGTCGGGGTGGATGCCTGCAGGATATGAGAGGGGGAGGGTGGGGGAAGTGGCTTGGGCAGCAGCAGGGCAATGTTCAGTGTTCACGATGAAGCCTTTTCTTTCTCCTTGCCCCCTAGATCTCCTACCCCCCAAGTGATGAGGACAGCGACGACTCTGAGGGAGAGAACCAGGAACTTGCTCAGATCGACAGAGGTAAAGGGACTAGATAGGAGGGTCCTGGGAAGCTACAGCTGAAGTCCATTTTGTTTTTCACTTGTGCTCTTAGAAGTGCCTCCTTCTCTGTCCCCAAAGTACCACAACCAGAGGCATTAAGTCAGTCACCTTGAAGCCTTTGGGACCTCACAGGGAGAAGCTGGTGTTATCAGAAGCTGCAGTAGCACTTTTCTTACCAGAGATAGGCATCATTAACCACATGTTAAGGCCCCAGTGCTGCAGACATGGGACGGAGAAGGTCTACAATTGGGCCAGCAGCAGAGCTGGGACTAAAAATTTATCTTCTATTCCATGCTTGTGCACCTGCATCATCATTGTTCTAGGTTTCCTCTTCCTTGTAATTTCCAGTTTTGACCTTCCATTTTCTCATTCCCCTGGACTCACTTGTCTGATTAGCTCGCTCCATTCCTCCTGTACTGTTGGTATTGGGCAGCTCTATTCTTGAATCTAGCTGAGGATCTTTCATAGAGGAGAAACAGGTTCTCTGCTATTGTTTTTGGACCTGGTATGAAGCAGCTTAGAGCTGTAGGTGAAATCTGTAGTAAATGCATCTCTTCAGCTACGCTAAATCTCTGCCATTTGTGCATGCCCTGTGTTTTATCATAATTTAGCCAAATTCAAGTGGATTCTTATGCAAAGGCAGAAGTTAAATTCCTGACCCACAGGACATGTCCTGTTGAAATTCAAATCCCTGCTCCACATCCTTAACATGGAAAGAGCTCAGCAGAACAGGTAAAGCATTCCCAGCTTATGGCTGAAGGCAGGCTCTCTTCTATGGCAAGCCTTATAATAGAAAGAGGACCTTTACCTCCAGAAACCAGATCTCTTATTTGAGCCACAGACGTGCTGCTTAGAATAATGTAACTAACTTATCTCCTCTGCCCTGAGAACTGGTCACTAGAATTTAATGTTTCTGGCTAGAGTTAAGTGCCTAACAAGACATTTGCAAGATCATGTCTTCTCTACCTTCTGGGGATGAGGTGGGCAGCAGGTCCGTGTTCTTGCTCTGCAACTAGACTTCCAGGTGACAGTTTGCAAGGGGATGTCTAGCAGTCTGGTCTAAACAAAGTTCTGGAAACTTCCCAAGGGAAGCATTCAGCCAGGGGGGCGTTTCTTCTGGGGGGAAAAAAGGCAGAAAACAGCTCAGAAATTCACTTGAGAAGAGGTAAAAAAACCAGGTCAGCAGAAAGCAGGCCCAGTTTATTAGGGTGTGGGACGCAGATCTGCTCTGCTACTCCTTTATCTCCTCCTCCCACCAGAGAGAAGACGGAATTGTACTTTGACCCCTCTGGCCACCAACCAGCTCCAGAACCAGGAGAACCAATGCTGCAAGGTTCGGGCCCTCTTCCATGCCAGCCTTGACCGCCACAGCTCGGAAGAGGAGCTGGAGCGCATCAACCGAGAGTTTGCCGCTGAGAAGCGAAAGTGGTCCCAGGTCAGCAGGCTTGCCTGCTGCAGTGACAGCAACAACACCTCCTCCAGTGACGAAGAAGTAAAGAATTTGTGCGCTATGTCCTTCCGGCCCGTGGCAGAGCAGGCCGATGGCTTGCACGCCAGCCCAAGCCCTGTGCTGTTCAGTGCCTCCCCTCCCAAGAGACTCCAGCCCCTGGGGCGGAGCCCAGCCTCCAGACCTTTAATCTTCACAAGCGTCGGGGCAGGCCTTGAGCAAGTCATGCCTTGTAAGAGACATCGACAAGGATACGGGGATAAGGTCAGCAGGCCCAGCCTTGACCTGGAAAAAATGCAGCAGGTAAGGCAGAACTTCATGAGGAAGGTGGTGTCACTTGAGAGAAGGTGTTGTAAGCAAAGGGAAAAGGGTTATTGAGGCAGGGTTCAGTAAATTCATAGGGTTGTTTCTTGTGATCACGTCTTCAGAGGCATAACTGGTACTTCTGCTGTCTGTCTAGGATAAACTAGGCCTAAGTGTAGATGCCTCTCTTGAGAGGTAAAGCTGCTGCTACTTGAGTGGCTTTTGCTACAGTTGGGCTGTTCTTTTTGTTACCCCCGTTAGAAAGGCAGCACTTATACTGTCTGGTTCATTGCATGACACAGGAACAAAATCACTGGAGTTCACTTTGTCAAGTTACCTCTGCTGCCATGAGCTGACCCATACCATTTACTTCAAAATAAATTAATTGCTTAGGGGTGTATAAAGAAATATCTTTGTGATCAAAGTGGTTGTAGACTTATGATGATGGGTATTTCCACACTTGTTGACCTCCTTGGGCCCAGGTCTCTTTATGCCTCCTAGGAGTTTTACAGCAATGTAAAACAGTGTGTTTTACCTTCTTAACGCTTCACAAATATAAACTGTTTGCTCTAGATGCAGTTACTCTTGATTTTACAGGACTTCTGGAGGGCCCTGGGATCGAAGTGCATAAATGCTAAGAGTTTGCCTCATCTCTGCAGAGGCTGGAAAATGGGGCATGCCTGGTACTGGTGGGGTGGGCTGCCCTGTGCAATGCCCATCTGGTGCCTCTCTTTCAGAAGGCGTTGCTGTAGAGTTAGTATTTCAGCTCGCTCTTCATTATTTGTTTTTCTTCTTGCACTGGTGTAGTGTCAGTTTGAAAGTGTATCTGCAGACATCTGCTGACCCTGGTAAACTGCAGTAAGTTAAAGACAGTTATTTTCAGTTCTGAATTTCCTCTCATTAGGGAGGAATTTCAGTGCCTCTGGTTGGTTGGATATACTAGTTTTAACCTCACTAACAACACCCCCTTTAAGCCTACAAGATGGACCCACTAAAAGAAAGGACTATGTATTTATTTTCCAAGATCTGTAAAAGTGAGACCCCTCCATTTCCCCATTACATCCCTGCTTGTTCTCAGTCCTGCTGGCAGGATACATCCTGTGAATACATAATGCAGAGACTTGTGGTTTCAGTACAGTTTTCCTCACCCCCTCATCACCCTTCTCACCATGTTTCTGCTCACAGAACATTCAAAAGGCCTAGTCTTGCATTTCACATCACCCAAATCTTCTGCTGGTACTGACAGACTTTAATTAGTCTCACATCCTAATGAGAGGAGAAAAAAGCTGGTAAGCCTGTGCTGTGCCGCCTTTTTTTCAGAGTCCGTATGAGTAAATGGAGAAATCTTCCTTTCGGCCCAGGTGCTTTCTCTGATTTGGATCCCAGGCATAGCATCTACCTGCTCTGCCTTAAGTTCCCTTCAGCAGTATGTTTGGGAGTGTGTTGGTGAAAGAGGCTAATTTAAATAAGCTTTCCAAACTACTGTGGTTTTTCTGGGAAACCTTGTGAGAATGACTTGCTTCCTGGTCTGTCTGCTCTCTGCACTTCTGGATTAATTGTGGCGATGATTTTTGCAAAAAAGTTGAAATCTGGAGTGGAGGTGTGTTTTTTAAGTAACATTTTTACTGTAGATGTCATTAACACTTCTAGGTTGTGGAATCCCTGCTATAAAGAAAGGATATTCTGCTAGTGGTTTTAATTTTAAAAATGTACTTTGGGGGGGGGGCATGGAGGGGGAAACATGCAGAGTGAGATGCAGCCTGAATATTGTAACAGTGTTTGGTCATTTGTATTATTTTTATAGTTTTAATTGGTTAATTTTCAACCAGTAACATCTTGAAGCTTTATGATGACTTCTTGCTTGATCTAGGAAGTCTTGTTCACTGCGTGGCTTTGCTTGCTACCTGTACTTGTTTCTGTACAACAGAACAGTAACAGTGTTGTAGATTCAGTCTTTACTGACACTTGGATTCCCATCAGCTTAGCTAAAATCAGTGATCTCATTTCTGACAACAGTGATCTGAAATCTGGGTTTTGTTTTGAGTTCTGTCACAAAATCCTTGTATAAAGCTAGGCAAGTCTCGTTTAGTACTTCCATTCCCCACCTGTAACATGGGACCAGGGCATTTCTTTCTTGGTCTGTTCTCGTTATCCAACAAAAATGCCTCTTATTAACTGTCTGGGCAGCACTTGGCATCATGTGGCTTTTAGTCAGGTAAACAATGCAAATGAGGGATGATATTAAACTGGCTACTCTAAGGCTTCATCTGGGCTCTGAACATCAAGTTATTCTTGCATTGTGATTCTTATCCTTACTATCATGTTCTTGCCCATGAGAATACAGCTGAAAAGCTCAATCAGATGGAAACTTTTTTGACCAGCAGATGTGGTTTTCACTCTTGTCCCTGAGCCTTACTTCCATTCCTGTGTCTCTGTGAAGCTGACCGATGACAGAGTATCAGGCAAGATTAATTTGTGCCAGAAGCAAATGTGTTCCGAGACAAGATACTTTTGGGTGCGTGATGTGGTATGGGTTACTCAGGGGTGGTTGAAGAGGTGCCGAGTGCTTTGTCTTTGCATCAAATCCAGTTTATATTGGACGGTGATGGAAAATTGGCCCAGAGAGTTGTGGTGTGGCGTAGCTCTGTGTGGGCATACTTAAGCTATTCTTAAGGTTGAACAGACAAGGCAGCTTTTCCAGGAAGGCCATGGATCAGTGGCACGTAGTGTCCAAATGTCTTGCTGTGTTCCAGTGATTTGGTGCCTTTTGGTAAGGAAGGGGAGCAGATTTGGGAGAGACAAATGGGTTGGGGGCAATCTGGGTGCTTTTAAGGGGTTAGGGAATTGCCGTGCTTCTACCTCCATGGCCTGATGGATAAACCTCCATCATCTGGGCCTTTCAGTTCAGCCTCCCTCAGCAGGAAAGGCTGCACAGGAGCAGGTTTAAAAAGTCCCATTCTGGTTAGGTGCCAGGCCATGCCTTTCTGGCTTCACGGGGCAGTGTGATTCTGCCCTTTTGTGCCCCAGCCATGAGTTTGGACAGTTGGTGGGTGTATTTCCCACCCTGGGTGGATGGTCAGCTGGCCATCCAGCCTCTTCCCTATTGAGGCTGAGCGAGGGGAATTCAATACGTGCTTTTCGTCACTCCTCTAAAGGACTAGAAAATTAGCTCAGACTTCTTCTTTTCCTTACCCTAATTGGGCAGAAATACGCTGGCTCATGCAGACACCTGCGTTGCAGCAGTGAATGCCCTCTCCCAGCCACCCCTTGATCATGGTCCTGGGACAGCAACCTCATTACACACAGGCCCTGCTGCCAGCCACTTGCTATTTATTGAAGGCCGAACATGTACTAGAAAGACTGGGGCTGCTGCCACCCTGCTAACCTCAGCAGATCTGACTTCTTTGGCAATGCTGAGAGCACGAGGTCAAGGAGAGCAGGGACATCCTTTAATGGCTTGAGGTGAAGGCACCAGGGGACACAAGGGTTGGCTGAGATGTAAGGAAGTCCAGGGTGTCATAAAGACTTCTTGGAGCTGCTGAGCTCATTCCCAGGGGGTAATAATTGGTCTCGGCATGTTGTGTAAACAGATCGAGAGGAAGTAAAGGCTCCATCCTCCTGTACAGTTTAGTGGGACTGGCTGGAGCTCCTTTGAAATCTCCTTTCAGCAGCATGAGAAGTCGGAGTGCAGCATTTGCAGGGAGAGAGACCATAAGAGATCTGTCTTGGAGGAGAGCAGCTTTGGGTAGGCAGGATGAGAAATCCAAATTGCTCTCATTTATGTGTGGGTAGGTGGCTGGTAAGGAAAGCATTGCTTTAAAGTACAAGGGCAGAGAGTTTGGGTACATGGGTATATTTCCTGTTATGCTACGAAGTCACTAGGTAGTTCTGAGCAAGTTGTGAAACCCTTCTGCCATGGTTTGCCTGCATGTATGAGTAGATAATATCAAGCTTCCATTGTCTTATGGAAGCTTAATGCATTATTTAAAACGCTTTGAAATCCTAGGATGAAAAAGGCCAGCACAGAAGAGAAGCACATCCTGTATGAGCATTTAGATGCTAGTCATTCTGCTGAATATTTGAATGCTGGCATTTTGGTTGGACTGGGCCTCGTAGGGCGATTGGCACTGAAAGCTTTCTTTGCGCTGATACTGGTTGCACAGAGGCTGGAGGACAGCACTTACCACACATGACCAAGGACCAGTGTGTGACCCCTGGTATGCTGGGGTCTGGGCTTTGGGCTGCTAATGGCTCCAGGGTGAGATTTCCATATCCTTAGCACAGCTGGGCTTTGCCCTTGCCTGTCTCTCCAGGACTTGACAAACAGCTTCCAGATAGGGAATGTGCGAGCTCGCGAGTCGTTTTCACCTCTTGGCCTCCCATTTGAATCCAGGCCCTGTCAGTTCCTGAAAATTATCATCTGCCTGTCTGAGCTTGCCTCTGTGCTGACGGGGTGCTGGAAAATCCACTGCTGGTGCTGGTGGTAGTTTCATCACTGTCTCTGCCCTGGGCCTTGCTCTCCAGAGTGGCTGAGCGGAGTTCAGGGGCCTGTGCTGAGCGTAACAGCTTACAACATTTCCTAAGGGGCCCAGTGCCAAACTTGTCTCTCCCAGGTGTGAAAAGTTGGGCCATAGCAATTCTTTGTCCCCTGGTGCAGTAGAGTGCTTGTTGAAGCAATATACTAAGGAAACTGTTGCAGAAACCAATTGCGCCATTACAGAATGAGAAATCCTGCTTCTAGTAACCTCCTGCAATTTTGCTTTTATTTTTCACCCCCAGAAATATTCTACAACAGCCGTTCCTCCAGACAGAAGCCCCTGCCTGTCTCACCCCTGCCAGCATTTGGCACTGAAGTAGCCAGCAAAACAAATGCTATGCCTGGCTGCTGCAAGGCAATCCTGGCATGGGAAAGTTTGGGGCTGAAAAAGATTGATTAGATTGTCTGGTCTACTTGCCTTCAAGGATGAAGTTCTGTGGCAGGGGGCTCTGGGACTCTATAG